GCTTCATGAATCAGCTTGGTAGCTAGCTTGCAATTCTGCTTCATGAATCAGCTGATAGCCATGACTAAGAAACAAGGTGGGCAATCACCATGAGAGAGCCAGAGCGGGAGGTTGCGCATCTGCTGCCTCAGCAAGACACCATCCCATACATGTACCCCTGAAGTGCCCTCATCATACACTAAGAGGACACTACTAATGATAGATGTTATCCCTGTAACTAATAAACATAAATGATGAGAAATACATCTCAATCACAGCTGCAGCAGTTGTTTATTTGTATGAAATGCCTCATGAGGCACTGCGAAGCTTGTGATTACATGTGGTACTTCATGTGCAATTAGTGCCATTAGTACCTTGCAAAAGGGGGGGACCAGGTACCAGCTATACTTCAGAATACCATGTGAATGCCAGAGAATGCTGATAGCCACAACTAAGAGACAAGGGGGGCAGTCACCATAGAGAGCCAGAGCAAGAGCCTGTGCATCTGCCTTGGCGTGACACCATCTCGTACACGTACCCCTGAAGCACCATCATCACACACTAAGAGGACACTACTAATGATAGATATTATTCCTGTAACTAATAAACATATGATGAGAAATACATATCAGTCACAGCTGCAGCAGTTGTTTATTCATAGGAAATGCCTCATGAGGCACTGCGAAGCCTGTGATGTCACAGAGTGTTTCTACAATCATGTGCAGTTATTGCAATTAGTACCTTGCAAAAGGGGGAGCCAGGTACCAGCTACACTTCAGAATACCATGTGAATGCCATAGAATGCATCAAGATTGATTCAGAGATCAGAATTCTAAAAAAAAAAAAAAAAAATAATAATAATAATAATAATAATAATAATAATAATAATTAAAAAAAGAAAAAGAAAAAAAAAATGCAGGGAATAGTATCCTCAACATCAAAGCCTGATATCTCAAAACTACACCTTTGTCAACATTCTTTGTTATATCTTCGTAACTACTAGGGCAATTCTAATGAACATTTAAAAAAAAGATATTTTACACTAAACTAAGAGGAAATTTCAAAATTGAATCGTCTGTTATAGGTATTGTTATAGAGTATATGTGATGCAAATTTGCTGTCATGAGAGTTTTGGCTGAAGGCCGTGGTGATATAAAAGAATCACCACAAAGGTGCAAACTTCATAGAGGTTGATCAGACTTATGTGGCATTTAGAAAGGGGCTTTTGCATTATTCATAGCAATAAATAGATGTGGAATGTAGTGTGTCTGATCCATGACTGGAAGAGCACCAGATCCAGGGAGGTTGCCATTTCCATGTTCAGCATCTATTCCTAGCTGCTGTGACTGGCAGCATAGGTTGTATTACAGAAAATTAGATAATAGGTTGTATTACAGAAAATTTAATAATAAAAATAAAAGAACAAAAGGATACATATTGTCATTATTCTTGCACTGAGTTTTGGAATACCTATAGAGGTAATATGGAGGCTGTGTAAGGAAAACCGTCTATTACCATCTGGATAAAGCAAATAAAATAATGAAATATGGACCTTGGAAAAAGGCAAAAACAAACAAAAACAAAAACAAAAAACAAATAAAAACACTTATACAAAAAAGAGAAAACCTTGCAAAGGGCAGGCATAGAGTTTTGTCACATCACATGATCACTTGTGCCCAGCCTACAAGCCCCACACCTGTCATAGCAGCTGCACAAGTAAGCCTAATGTAATTACTATAAAACACCTGAATCCAAAGGGAAGATGGCCAAATTAAGAGAAAAGGTATGGCAACACAGCCGCTACAAATTTAGTGATTAATACTTCAATGTTTCAAAAAGCAAGGCCATTGCTACTCTGAGATATATCTTTAGAATTCTATTCCAATTCATTGTTTCAAACTTTTGAAAAAGGCTAAACTCATTACTCATATTTGATTATTACTCATGTAGCTCTACTTTTTTCCAATAACTGAGAATGATGAGTTTTATTTCCTTTTAACTCAGTAACGATGGGTGTCCCACATATGAGACACCCGGAAAAAAAAAAAAATTGCCAGTGTGACACTGTATCGGGGCACGCGCTCCGACACAGCAGCGGGCCACAGTCGGCACGTGGGCAGAATCCGGGCCAGCCCCGCGTGCCTATTTTGTAGCCACCCAGAAACTTCTATTTTCGGCTTCAAAATGTACCGGCGGTAATGGGTAAAGTGTGCATCCAAATGTCCAGTTAAAAGCACCTCAATTGCGCAAGTTTTCCTTGTTTGGTTACAAGAATAAGTTAGTACCATGTGTTCTAATAGACAGTAGGGATCATCATAAAAAAGTTTTAATTTCTCTCTCTCTCTCTCTCTCTCTCTCTCTCTCTCTCTCTCTCTCTCTCTCTCTCTCTCTCTCTCTCTCTCTCTCTCTCTCTCTCTCTCTCTCTCTCTCTCTCTCTCTCTCTCTCTCTCTCTCTCTCTCTCTCTCTCTCTCTCTCTCTCTCTCTCTCTCTCTCTCTCTCTCTCTCTCTCTCTCTCTCTCTCTCTCTCTCTCTCTCTCTCTCTCTCTCTCTCTCTATGTAATCATCTGTAGTGAATTTAGCATATTTCAATTTTAATTGTTTTCAAGGTAACTGTCCCTGTGCATGTTTTTCATCAGTTGTGAGCCAGTTGGGGCAATTATTGCGGGGAATCCAGACAGAACGAGAAAAGTTGCGACAAGCTCTAGAGTCCGAGTCAAACTTATTGGCATCTCACAACACCACAGCCATTATTGCTGCACTGAGAAATAGTCTCAATCAGGTAAGTTTTTAAGAAAATCTCAAACCCCAGTTTGTCTCTCTCTTCCCCCCCTCTGTGTGTGTGTGTGTATAGGGGGGTTGGGTTGGATGTCTGATATAAGCATGGACCAACTGAGCATGTTCTTTGAGAATAGGTTTTTAATTGTTATTTCAAGAAACTTTTAGACCAAGGGAATTTGTCTTACTATTAATTTGCTGAAGTGTTCAGGGTCTCAAATGAAAGGCAAAATTATTTACAAAGTCAGTTTTATTTACCACAATAACTCAGTGTTACCTTGTATTGACCTTTGATGACAACTCTGCCAAGTCTATGCAAGTGTTGAAAAGTTTTGGGGCAAAAACAAAACTATCCTTACTGCTGAATTCACATGAAAGAAACTAGTCATGCCCCCACTACACTTTGACACTTTCGGCTTGATATTAACCTAATAATCTTTGTGGGGATTCCTCTGAGATACACTGACGAGGTTTTCCTCTCGCTCCCTATTCCAGTGCTGCCCTTCACTACACACCTCCTCCTCCCTCCCAAGATGATTTTGCAAACCCCCCAGTATCTATTCCTCCTCCATCTTATTTTTCCACTTCTACCCCCATCCTCTCCCTGTCAAATTCTTTTCCAATTCTAAATCTAGACACCCCAATCTCTACCACAGCCCTGACACCTGCTCCTCTCCCTTCTCACTCTACCCATAGCAGACAGTCTAAATGTTCCACCCCATCTCCTACCACACCCTCTCCCCAACCTCTTCCTCTACCCCTCAAAAACCTATCTTTCATGTTTTCCCTTTTTATTTCAGGAAACTAAAAGTTTTGTTGAAAATCTTATCATTGGTAGCATTTTAAGCATATATTGAAAATTATTTTTTGCTTATTTTTTGGGCACCCCTAATAAGTATGTTTAAAAAATATATGCAATGTTAATACTTCTGATACTTTTAAAGATTGAATCTGTTTTGTGTAACCATTTTTTATATTGTATTTATACCTCACCCCCTTACATAGCAATGAACATTGTTAATTTTTTTAGTGTTTTACCAGATAGACAAAATGTTAGGACACAGAATGAACATAATACTGGGTTAGGTCTTGGTCCCATTGTAGTGTGAAGTTAGGGATGGTGAGCAACTGGAGTGTGGCATATTCTCATGTAAGTAACTGATGAATATTTGATAATCAGTTAGTGCTATGAGCTTTTCTGTCACAGGCATATGTGATATGGGGTGAAGGCAGTTAACTTAGTTCAGTTCATTAAAACCAAGATACCGTAAAAGAATCTTTTGTCAATGCAAATAAATTTACTTTTTTCTCATACAATGTAAAATTTTCAGGCCCTCCAACAAAATGCTGAGTTACGGGGCCGTCTAGCAAGGATACATGCAGATTCCGACTTGTCTGATATCTCTGTTCCACCATCAGTGTCAGAACTGGTAAGTTGTAGTATGTTTGCAGTTAAGAGTATGATGTTTGTATAATGATTATGTATATGAAAACACACACACAACCCGACACACACACACACACACACACACACACACACACACACACACACACACACACACACACACACACACACACACACACACACACACACACACACACATATACACACATACATACATACACACACATACATACTCACACATACACACACACACATACACACACACACACACACACACATACATACATACACACACATACATACACACACACACACACACACACACACACACACACACACACACACACACACACACACACACACACACCACACACACACACACACACATACACACATACACACGCACACACACACACACACACGCACACACACGCACACGCACACGCACACACACACGCACACACACACACAAACTTATTTATTTGGGGGGTGAGAGGTCTCCAAGCAAAGCAAATATACTATCGGAACCAAAATGTAGAGGCAGACAAACATTAACCCTGCAACCAAATTTAATACCTAAAGATTATATAGAAATAGTTTACACAAATATTGATGGTCTATCTTCGAAGTTGCTTGAACTAGAGACAATAATTGATATGGATAAACCGGATGTAATATGCATCACTGAAACCAAACTGGACCCCTCCACAGGCGATGTAACATTAGGGCTTAAAGACTATAATATTTGGAGAAAAGATAGGGCAGATGGAAATGGAGGGGGGTAGCAATATTAACAAAGAAAGGAATTATTATAAAGGAGTTAGAAATTAATCAGGACCCCATAGTGGAAATGAAGGTAATTGAGGTAGAAACAAATGGGGTAAACATAATAATAACCACGGTATACATGCCACATCAAACATCGGCGTGGTCACTAGAAAATTACCAGAATCTAATTCAAGAGACAATAAAGAGCCTGGAAGAAGTGCTACAACTATTGGAAGCCAATTCAACAGAAATTCTTATTACAGGGGACTTTAATAGCAAAATCAACTGGGAAAGTCTCGATCCTAGAGCACAATCAGATTCTTGGAATGCTAAATTACTAGATATCATAAATGAGCATTGCCTTTTCCAGAATGTAACAGATCATACCAGGATAAGAGGGCTAGATAGGCCGTCTATGCTTGACCTAATATTTACAAAGCATAACGACGATATTAAGGATATCGAATACTGTCCTCCTTTAGGAAAAAGCGACCATGTAGTGATTAAACTAAAATACTGTCTGCTACAGGAAAAACTCATCGTAAGCAAAGAAAGAAAGGAAAAGTACAATTACAAAAGAGGTGATTATAGAAGCCTTAAAGACTTCTTTGATAATATAAACTGGGAAACACTTCTGGATGATGAGAACCTTGATGATCAGTATGCAACATTTTGTGAGATCTATAAAAAAGGAGTGGAAAAATTCATACCCAAATTCAAAACTGAAGCAAGAAATGGCCAAAAATGGTTCAACGACAAATGCAAGAAAATGAGGGAAAATTAGCATCTCCTTTGGAAAATATTCAGAAGGCATAGATCTCAGGCAACATATGAAAGATATAAAGTAGGAAGAAATGAGTATACCGAAACCATGAGAGAGGCGAAATTAGACTTTGAAAAGGACATAATAAACAAATGCGCAAGTCAACCAAAACTCTTTAACTACATAAATAGTAAAACTAAAAGTAGGGATCAAATTAGCGCTATCAAAGACAATAACATTATATATTCTAAGGAGGAAGAAATGTGTGAAATCCTAAATGAGAAATTTCAGTCAGTGTTTGTTCAGGACCCATGCTTTTATATGGCAGATACCCGTACAGACGTAAAGAACATCGAAAATATCACCCTCAAAAAGAACGAAATAAAAGATCTGCTAAAAGGATTAGACAAGACCAAAGCAGAGGGACCAGATGAAATTTCTAACTGGGTTCTTAGGGAATGTGTCGAAGAGCTGTGTACTCCTTTATTGTTGATATTTCAAAATTCACTAAGACAAGGTAAACTACAAAAAAGTTGGAAATTCGCAAATGTTACACCCTTATAAGAGCGGCGACAAACAAAACCCACTAAATTATAGACCAGTTTCATTAACTAGTGTAGTATGCAAACTGCTAGAAAGAATAATTAGAAAACAATGGGTTGAAATGCTTGAAAAATACGAAATGATATCAAATAAACAATTTGGTTTTAGAGAAGGAAGGTCGTGTGTAACAAATCTCCTCTGTTTTTATAATAGAGTATCTGAAATATTACAAGAAAGAGACGGCTGGGTGGATTGTGTGTATTTAGACTTTAAGAAAGCTTTTGATAAGGTGTCTCATAGAAGACTACTATGGAAACTAGAGCACCTAGGTGGAGTGAAAGGTAACCTACTCGCATGGATGAAAGACTTTCTTCATGAAAGACAAATGAGCACAGTAATTAGAGGAAAGCATTCTACATGGCGACGGGTAACCAGCGGAGTGCCTCAAGGATCGGTGTTGGCGCCATTTATGTTTACTATTTTCGTCAATGATTTAGAGTCAAACATAAGCCCAGGTAGTTATCTGAATATGTTTGCAGATGACGCAAAGATACAAAAGAGGGTAACAGACAACGTCTCATGCCAATGCCTCCAAAGTGACATCGAAAACTTATTCACATGGAGTTGTACATGGAAAATGGAATTCAATACCAATAAATGCCACGTAGTCAGATTTGGAGAAAGTAGAAATCGCCCACTATTCCAATACAAATTAGGGGACGCAGTATTAGACACAGCTGACAGGGAAAAAGATCTTGGGATAATCATAAATAGAAACCTAAATCCAAATGACCATATAAATGAAAAGGTCCACAAAATGTTAGGACTGATTGCCAACATGAAGAGGGCATTCGTGTATGTGGACGAAGATATGGTAAAGAAGATTATTAAAGCAATCATAAGACCAGCTCTTGAGTACGGTGCAGTGGTATAGAGTCCACACTTGAAAAAAGATATTGACAAACTGGAAAGAGTCCAAAGAGTGGCGACAAGATGGGTACTTACCCAAGAGATCTGAGTTACGAAGACAGACTATAAAAATTAGGACTTATAACCTTGGAAGAAAGAAGGAAAAGGGGGGATATGATAATGCTTTTCAACTGCTTTACAGGAAGAGTGAAGATAGATAAGGATGACTTTTTGATCTTGAACACAAGAAGAACGAGAGGACACAACAAAAAGTTGAAAGTAAAAAGAGGTGATAAAGATGTCAAAAAAATATAGTTTCCCAAACAGAATTATTGAATCGTGGAACAGTCTCCCCAATCAAGTAGTGTGTGCCAAAACTGTGCATCAATTAAAAAAGTTATATGATAATTTAAATATAGCAGACGGGACCACCTGAGTGAGCATAGCTCTTCTCCCGTATCCAAACAACTAGGTAAAAACAACTAAGTAAGAAGACACACACACACACACACACACACACACACACACACACACACACACACACACACACACACACACACACACACACACACACACACACACACACACACACACACACACACACACACACACACACACACACACACACCACACACACACACACACACACACACACACACACACACACACACACACACACACACACACACACACACACACACACACACACACACACACACACACACACACACACAATATCAGTGAGACAAGGAAAACTACCAATATATTGGAAATTAGCCAACATTATACCTGCATATAAGAGCAGCAACAAACAAAACCCTCTAAATTATAGACCAGGGCCCGTATCCACGAAAGGTCTCAGACAATTTTGAGATTAAATTTGAGACAATTTCAGAAGTGTCGGAGGAAAAAATAGGTCTGTTGTTTGTTTACATCATCGATCGGCACTTGTTTAGTTATTTTATATTTATTAATACATAAGAATGTTTGCAAACATGTGTTTTTTTTGGCAAAATACTCTTATCGTGCTGGCACAACACACGCAAATCAATCATTACACAAGAAAAACAAAAACAAATGTGATAAA